ATCGGTACACTCAGGTGAAAAGGCCAAAGATGTTTGTCGACATTTTATTACAGCTTTTTATACCCTAGGAGTCACAAAACCCATAAAAACAGATAATGGCCCAGGCTATAGAGCACACAAAACACAAAAAATTTTTCAACAATAGGGAATTCAACATATCACAGGTATTCCACATTCTCCCACAGGCCAAGCCATTATTGAACGCACACATAGCACCCTTAAAACAATGTTGCAGAAACAAAAAAGGGGGAGTTCAGGGTTAATCCCACAAGAATGCATAGCGAAAGCCTGTTATGTTTTGAATTTTTTAAAACGCTGGATGGAGGACAGACCTCCTATACAGCACCATTTTGGGGGTTCTAAGGATTTTAAACAGGGGAAAGCTCATGTTAAAGTACATAACCTTGAAACTCATAAATGGGAAGGCCCATTCCCTCTAATAACCTGGGGACAAGGTTATGCTTTTGTTTCCACAGATAAAAGACCTCGTTGGGTCCCTACATGATGGGTTCGTCTGGCCTTGTCTTCTGCCTCTTCATCAGAGGAGGCCTGACCCTACCGTGGCTTCCTGCCCAGCCAAAAGAAAACATCTGGGTAACATTAGCCAATGTGATAGAACAAGACACCCTGTGCCTGTCTGTTGCTACACCTATGAATCCTTTCAGTACATGCCTGGTAGGACTGCTGTTGGACAACTGGATGGTGGCTGACATCCCCTTAACAGCCCAAGTAATGGCAGCCACAAACCCCGTGGACACATGGGATGGCTGGGTGGTACAACGACCAGTAGCCTTTTTAGAACCACAAGAAATTGATTTGTTAGGATCTATAAAAATGGATGTGTTTATATTTTCATTATACAGGATGAAACCAATCGTTAGTGCAGAATGTTAACTCTTCTTTAGCTGTTTATCAAAATGCTTCTGTGTGGTGTAATTACACTTTTGTCAACCTTTCTTGCTCTTCTAACATACTGGTATCACTTCCTTGAGGTATCCTTTTAATCTGTAGAGATCGAGCATAGCCTGGCATCCCTTCTCACCTACGAGGAGGCCCTTGTAGTCTAGGCAGATTAACAATGTTAATCCCAAATATTTCTATGATACTGAATTATACTATGTTTCACCATCTCCACAGGGTAAAAAGATCTGCTCATGCTTTTACTCATGATTGCAATGACAGGGCTACATTCTGGAATCCTACAGAGATAATGCCAGCATCCCTTTTTGCACCAGGAGTAGCTGCTGCAAAATCTTTTGGAACTTTAAACAAATTGGGATGTTGGCCTGCAAAGCAAACAAATGCTACATCTAATGCTCTTTCCAGTCTCCTCCTTGATGTAGATTCCATAAGACATGCAACCTTACAAAATTGGGCTGCCATAGATTTTCTTCTCCTTGCCCACAGTCATGGGTGTGAGGACTTTGAAGGCCTATGTTGCATGAACCTTTCAGGACACTCTGAATCGGTTCACAAAAGTATACAAACTCTCAAAGATCTTGCAGGAAAAATTCAGGTTGAGGATGACTGGAACCCTTTTTCAGGTTTATTTGCTGGACTAGGAGCATGGGTAAAAACATTGATTGCATTAGGAGCTTTTGTTTTGTTAGTGTTTATTAGCTTGTTAATTTGTATTCCTTGTTTAATGAAACTTATACAATCTCTTATTGATCGGGCCCTTACGCAGGTATTGGTAGTAGATGTACAAAACAAAGAAGGGGGAGATGTGGGAGGTGAAGGTGATAGAATTTGCATGATGAGCTTGAGCAACACTCTGGGAACAAGCTCTGAGGCTTTGATACCAAACAAGCCTTGGGGCAATAAGTTGGAATGTTGAAAGACAGGAAATGTAAACAAGCAAGCCTTGGGGCGATAAGCCAGGTTGTTGTAACAAAGAATTTCAGTTGAAGGCCAGAGGACCTGAAGAATGGGAGAAAAAGTGAAGCAAGAAGATGAAAATGTTGCCCAATGAACAGCGCGTGATCAGCATTGTGATTGGACTATTTACCTGGGAGATTATTAAAGAAGCCACTGAGATTGAATGTTGCGTGATCGTGCAGGTTGGGAAAGTACGGAACATGGGGATAAAGGGGCTTGATTGTAATAAAGTTTTGTCTCAGCATCCTCACCGACCTGAGTCCATGTCTTGATACGCCACAAACTGATGGCTCAAAGAGAGGAAATAAGGACATTTGCTTTCGGATTGGCACAGGTGCGTGGATAGAGCCTGTACCACGGCAATGCTGTGTCCATTAAACAACCTTGTGTCAAACTGCACCCAATTTGTCATCAAGAGTCATGGTGGACAAAATAACACAGTGACTTTACAACGTGGATTTTTTTGAGAAAGCCCAGTTCCTCACACAATCTAAGTAAGAGATCAGTGCACAGCAGGGACCCTTGTGCCTAAAAAACAAGGAGAGCTCTCACCAGCTTTCAAGGAGTTTTCTAGATATGGACTGTTGCAGTACAATGTCACATTAAAATAAAGAAAAATAAAGATGCCTGCCTTTATGAGAAGAAAGAGGAGTAACAGATAAAGCTTCACATTCCTGATCCAAACACAACACAGCTGAGCCACACCTGGGATCCTTTGCTATGCAACTACGACTAATAACTCACCAGAAGAGAGCTGCTGGTGTCAGCCCAGCTCCTCCAGAGCAACACGGCCACTGACATTCCCTATCTGCACAAGCTGCAGGAAACTGAGAATGGGAAAAGGTCCCAAAGTCAGGAGTCACCTGTGGAAAGCTGTCAGGGGAGCACATAGATGCAGAAAGCCCATGCTGCTGCCGCAACTCCTGAGCCCATCCAGCGGGCAACTCTGCCCAGGGCCATCAGTTTTTTTGGTAGTGCTTTGCTACCCCCACAGCTGAAATTATTAAAAAAAAAAATATAAAAGTACAAAAGTGTACAGCTGGTTTCAACCCATGGATATTAGTGACGTTCACAAGCAGAGCAAGTTTCTGAAGCAATACTACCAACAGCACCACACGTACAATACTGAAAGGCATTTAGACAACTATTAATGAGTTAATACAAAATTCTTGGTAAATGACCTCATACTAAGGAAAAGTAATATTATTTCAGGTTTATAAAAATGTAAATATAACAGTATTCTATGCACATGTCTACTAATTACTTACATATAATATATATGATTCCTCTATAAACATATATATAATCTTAGAATATAGAGGCATTGCCTATTTACATACCTATACAGACTGTAAGAAAGGAAAAGCCACTCTCTCGTGTGACCCCTCAGATCCCCAAACTTGAGTAGAGAATTTTACAAGTACACTTCCACAAGTTTATCTGCTGCTGCGTTTTTCTTTGTATCTAAATAGCATTTATCCCATTTCAACAGAGACCCTCACAATCTATCCCAAAACACTGATCCAAATTAAAACAACCCCCCCCCAAACAAAGCATCTCGGCACTAGTTTCCTTTTAGCTGCTAAAAGACTAGAGCTACCACCAGTCCTCCTGAACACAACAAACACCTATTCCTTGAAAATAAATTTTGCACTAATGAAAAGTCACCACTGATCAACAGTTCTCACCTTCCACCCTCAACTCACAGCTGAGAGTACACAAAGCAATTCATTCTTGTTCTTGCCTCTATTGCTGGCTGTAATCTCTTGTACCCCTCTCCTGGAATAACCCTGAAAAAGCAGCCCTAGTAGAGAGGCACAAGAGTCAAAAACTGACAGTCAAACTCTATTCTAACTCTTAATGAAAATACCCTTGGGGGAAAACGCAGCTTTTCTAGTCCAGTAACAACTTTTGGATTTTACTTTTTTATAAATCATCTTTCCTGCTACTCAAATAATGATTTAAACTACATTTTATGACAAATGCAAGCTTCTGACTTGATTAGTTGTCTTTCTGAAGACTCCGGAAAGGTAATAAAAATTCTGTTCAGACAAGTTTCCTTTTTAGAAACTATATCCTAAACCAGAATCACAATAGAAGCTTAAAAAGTAAATGAATAAAAATAAATTAACTTATCTAAATTAGTGCAATGTCCACTGATACAGCTGCCCAGACTCTCAGTATTTTAATTTAAAAAACCTACCAAAGTTACTAATGCTGAACTGCTCATGCTTTATTCTATCTTAAAACAACTTGCACTTGGCATGGTTAAACTTCATAAGGTTGGCATCAGCCCCCCTTATAAGCATGTCAAGGTCCCTCTAGATGGCATTGTTTCCCTAAAGAAGTTCAACAATACAAAGTGCAAGGTCATACACCTGGGTCAGGGCAAACACAGGCACAGCTACAGGATGGGTGGAGAAGTGATTCAGAGCAGCCCTGTGGAGAAGGAATTGGAGTGTTGGTCAATGAGAAAATGAACATGAGCCAAATTCAGTGTGCACTCACAGCCCAGAAACCAACTGTATTCTGGGCTGCATCAAAAGGAGCATGACCAGCAGGTCAAAGGAGGTGATCCTGCCCCTCTGTTCTTGTGAGACCTCACTTGGAGTACTGTGTACAGTTCTGGTGTCCTCAACATTAAAAGGACATGGAACTCTTGGAACAAGTCCAGAGGAGGGCCACAAGGAGGATGAGGGGGCTGGAGCACCTCCTGTATGAAGACAGGCTGAGAAAATTGGAGCTGTTCAGCCTGGAGAAGAGAAGGCTGCGTGGAGACCTCATAGCAGCCTTCCAGTATCTGAAGGGGGCCTATAACGATGCTGGAGAGAGACTCTTCTTCAGGGACTGTAGTGACAGGACAAGGGGTAATGGGTTTAAACTTAAATAGGAGGAGTTCAGGTTAGATATAAGGAAGAAGTTCTTTACTGTGAGGGTGGTGAGGCACTGGCACAGGTTGCCCAGAGAAGTGGTAAATGCTCCATCCCTGGCATTGTTCAAGACCAGGTTGGACAGTCTTGGGCGACGTGGTTTAGTGTGAGGCATCCCTGCCCATGGCAGGGGGGTTGGAACTAGATGATCTTAAGGTCCTATCCAACCCTAACTATTCTATGATGCTACAATTTCTGGAATTATTTTTATGTTAAAATAATAACAAAGCATTTGGCTTGAATAACTTCTGAAAAATAGGACAGTGGGGAGGCAATTAATAACAAAACATAGACTTTCTAATTAAGCAGAAAGAACCAATAACTTCCTGCCAGAAGAGACACTTAGCTGATAACTGTGCATTATGTGCTACTCATGATTTTATATACATATAGATACACATAAACCCATATAAGCAGCCAAGAGAACGCATGCAGCAGTCACAAGTGGTGGCTAACGGGTACCTTTCCCCAGATTTTAACCTGTGCCAACAAATGGGTGTTCTGTGAATCCCAACACCCCACAGATGCCGTGCAGAGAGCGGACCATGGGTGTGTTAGAGGCACACACAGCTGAAGGGTAGTGTCCACATTGAACGTGCAGGTTTAAACTTAACAGTTCTTGCAGAAGCGAGCTCAAGCAGCAGAAAAAAACAAGACACTTAAAACCCATCCCAGCAATGCAGGTCTACAGTTTTTCATTTTCACCCAGTAGTATCTTCCATACTTCATTGCTGCTCTGTGGATATGATAGTAACTTCCCCTTATAGAGTAATGTCATTGGGAACTTTACATTTAGAGAGACTGATATCTCAGTATCTTCTTTCTCACCCAAAATGGACTAGACATGATGTCACCACTTCATTTCTGCAGGCTCCATCCATCTACTCACAGATCACAGGCACACCAGAGTAAAGGAGTAAATACAGGAATGGGATTAAAATAAAAGAAAAAAGGCAGAGTAAGCTCCAATTATCAATATCAACTGCTTAAATTCCAAAAGTAAATGTTTAGGACTGATAAAATACAGATGTGGCTCACACTTGTTATTGGGTCTTTCTGCCATGAAATCCTGCAGCCCATCTTTAAGCTCTTTATTGGCTTATCAAACCTCTCTTTATCCTTTGTAACAGCTGTCTGCAACCACTGATCAACTGCTGAGCAATTTCTTCATTCAGAAGACATGCTTTTTATAACCAATCACATGTTCCAAGTGTTGTACATTTAAACACTGACCTAAAATGAACATGACAAATTTAACACAAGAAAAGGCGTTATCCAGAAGCAAAAAACATGATAGCACAGGCCTTTTCTAATTTACTTTAGATTTTTTTTTCTCTTTTCTTCATGATCAACCCAAAACAGCACACAATTCAGACATACCCTTCCCCTGGAACTGTAGCAGTCTTGGTATGAAGTTCTCTTTTGGACACCCATCTTGTTAAATGGAGAATTGGTCCCTGGTGACTTGACACTGACCAACAGCACTTCCATGTAAGGATACACCCCTTTGGAACAATGGAACAAACTGAAGCAGCACACAAGTGAATTTATCATTCCTATTACTTCTTCTGTGTATGAAGGCTCTGGATGACATCCAGCAGCTTGTCGTGGGACTGTGATCCTGCAAAAGCCACTAGTTCATTTTCAAATAACTAGCTATTGACTTCCACAAGCATCTGGAAGTTGCTTCGGTCCATAATTCTCAGTCTCCTACATAGCCTCACATAGCATTTAGTCAATGCTGCAAGGCTGCTGCTTTCATGTCATGAACCATAACGAGATTGTTAATATCTTGTCTTATCAGGAAATAAAAAATAAGTTGCAGAAAGAGAAAGTATGGTTCAGGGTTAAAGCAGCTCTGGACATTAGGAAGCAGGGATTTTTTTTATCATGATTAAAATTTTAAACATTTTAGCATAATCATAAACTAAGAATTAAAACACAGAGGCATTGATAATAAAAATATTAAATAGACAATGATAGTGGAAAAAAGCTGAATGGCTCATTCTGAATGAAACCCTGTTACTTTATATATGCCTAAGTTCCTATGAGTTTCCTTACTAGGTCATATTGCTGAGTGACAGACACATCAAAACACAAAGGGAAGCTTCTCATAGTCAGTTGGAACAATAAACTGCCTGATGGAATGGTGAAAGATGAACAAGTTATGTTGCAAAAAGTAATTAAATACTCAATAAAGACATGACAAACCCCACCCTGCCCCAGTTATCAGATGTCATGTTGTGGTAGAGCATCAGACAAACTCACAAGTTTACCACAAAAATGTGTGGCAAAAAGAATATTATATATATATGTATATAAATTTGTATATTTATGCCAGTGTACTCACTCAGTACAAATAGCAAAATAGTATACCATTTCCTAAATACAAAATATAGCTTTCCAAAAAAATGAAACACACGTTAGATATAAACCATCCAAAACCTGAACGATTGAAAACTGTATTCAAAATTAAATGACCAAGAGCAGGTCTCTTTCTGAAAAGTTCCCTTCATATCGGCAAGAAACCTTACTACTGAAAATGTAATTCATTGCCTCTCAATGAGGGAGAGAAAGAGAGAGACAGAGAAAGTGAACGGCAGGACAGACTGACAAATAGGAAAATCCATTAAACAAACTTTCTACATGGCTCAATTACACACACAAGTTAAGGGAAAAAACACGGTAAACAGACTAGAAGAACTTAGAAAACCATTTACAGACTAGTCTTTGTTATTTAAAATAACAAAAATGTAAAATGACATGATACGAACTACACTCTATCAAGGCATAATCGCCATACATGACAGCTGTCTGAGTCTCAAGGCAGCAACAGCTTTCTACATGCAGAAGAAACAAAGATCTGAATGAGGTTGTAGTGAGAATTCACAAAACTTTCTGGATAGTTGGAGCACCCAAAAAATTCACATACCTCACAATGCAACTGCATGATCTGAAGTGGGTTGTTCTTATATTCTGTAACATCAGTCAATGGGGTTTTTTTTTAGTTTTTAAATTGAAACATGACCATCTAGAAACTAGATTTGGGGGACTGTTGGTAGGGAAAAATAATCACTTCAAAACTGCAGTGAGCTCAATATGCTACAAAGATGCAACAGTTCAGGATTAAGTGAAATTTTCCAGAATGCTTAAAAATTATGTAATTTGCCCCTAACTTGGAGTAAAGTCAAGCTGAAGATTTACATCAGTAACAGCTGGAAAATGCCTGGTTAAGGGGGGTTCCTGCATTTAGAAGGTGGTGGAGAAATTGCTTCCCCTCTCCTTAATTCTTGATTATTTGTCAAAGCTTCTATTGACTAAGCAATTTAATGCCATGGATTTCTAAAAGCTGCTTCTGGCATTTAAAGCCAGTAGGATATTTATGCCTTTTTTTAAAACACAATATGAAACTGGGGAAGAGAGAAGGAAAACCATGAAAAGAATGGAAGGGAGAAGACTGTTTTGAGAACAGCTAATGCAGCTTTACAGAGTTCTAACCCATCCAGTCAGAGCGAGAGACAGAGTTCTTTCCTCAGCCAGGCAGAACATTCTTTAGAAGGTATTTTAGAGGACAAGATTTTAAGAGCAAAATTTAACTGAAAGTTCCCCTTCATGTCTTCATTTTAGAGCCACCAAACCCTTGCTCCATGTACAGTTACACATAAGAGACATGGAAAATGATTAATCACATCTGCAGATGGGAAGCACCCACCTCTGGCTATCTACAGAAACAAACAATTCTCTGCTTGCTGATTATAGTTATCAATTTGTCATTGCTGCCTACTGCAATTAGCAAATCACAGTATTAGCTCTCCCACTCAATTCTAAAACAATCCCTTCACTTACTGACAGCTATGAGTCATGGCTCATGGCACAGGCATTTGATGTTTCTGCTTCACAAGCTTTTCCAGTCAAAAGAGGGGATGTGAAGAAGGAAGAGGAGGAAAAAAAGTAAATATGGTGACATGTATTACCTTCTAACAACAATAATAGCTGATCAGATATGCTTTAAAGTCAAAGAGCACCCCACTGTTAATGAGGCTTAGGAATCTGGTAATGGTACAATCCCATGCTCTTGTAAAACAAAGCATAGCTTTTCAGCATTGCACTACAAATCCCAAATACTATGGTCATAGCCTTAGGTGCTAGATGCTGCAATTGGCCATGTGTGTGCTCTTTAGAGAAGAGGGCCACTGACAGAAGCAATCAGTTCCACACAGCCTAATCCAGAGTCAGAAGGTCTGAGAGTATCTGGGAAATCATCACTTTTTTCTTCACAGAATTTCTGCAGGAAAAAACAAGCAAGCAAAAGAGTTAAAACATAACTAACAAAAGCCAGCCCCTTACTTCAGTTTAGTTCCTTCATCTTGAAAGTGTTGCTCACCAGCAGACATGAAACTCAGTATCAGAATGCAGCACTCTCACAAAGCAGCATTATTCTCCTTCCACTTTTTTTAATTTAAGTTTATAACTTAAATAAAATTAAAAAAAACCCCAACAGTTTATATTAGAAAATGAAGTGTATCACTTAAGTGAAACTTACAGGGGATTTAGGACAGCAACAGAGTTAACTAGTGCCAAGTTACACACTGTGGACAATACTAGATTCCACAGTCCTCCTGGTTCTTGGTACTCATTTGTAGTCAAAGCCTCTTTCACCTCACTGAAAAAGGCACCTTTTAAAAGCAGAATGTTTCCTAGTAACAGCTGATGGTGTTTTCACAAAGACTCAGCATGTTGCACACTCTCAACAGCTGCCATATTCTACCTAAACTTGTTTTCACATTACATTACTGGATCCCTGGGGGCAACTTCAGAATAGTACAGATTTGAGATGTTACTTACTCAATAAGCCTTAAGTTTTTAACTATAGTTGTATTTCATAACACTTTTATCTGCCAAGCTGTCAGTTATCTACCTTCCTTCTTCATCAAGTACTACACCCTATCAGCAGATGATAAAACATACAGCAATTGAACAACAAGAACCAATCTCAACCAACCATTTCATACAAATTCTGATCTTTGACTGTTTTAAAATAACTCTTCATCCTAACCACTGGTATTTAGCTAACACTCCAAAGTAAAGACTTACTGAACAAAAGCCTGCATGCAAAGAGCCCAGAAACCCAAACAAATTACTTACTTGACTAATTAAAAGGAGCCAGTTATATTGTTCCCCTGGTTTTGCAATGACACGAGCAGATCATCTATTTTCTCAATATTCTGGTTGGTTGCCATAGCTGAAGGTAGTGGAGACGTCTCAGATATCTGCTGGGAGAGAAGTGTGGGCACAGCTGCTTGTCCCTTGCTCTGTGGCTGACCCGGCTGACTTATAGCCATCAACTCATCAGGCAACGTCGCTGGTCCAGAAGTTAGCAGCTGGCCACAGTCTGTTAAACAGTAAGTGAAAAACAGAGTACCATTTAAATTAGTTTAACACATGCAGTGAATCAGCCAAGTTCTTTACATATGAGCTGTGTAGAAAGTTATAGGCACTTTTGTTCACATGGCCACCCCTGCTCACCACTCCCTCAGGGTTTCAAGGTGTATGTATGGAATATACGGACCCTGTATTATAACCAAACCCTATTAACACCCCAGAGGACAACACTTAGCTAAAAGAAAAACAAAATGCAGAGCATAAGGGAAGTGCTGAATCATAGAATCATAGCATGATTTGGGTTGAAAGGGACCTTATTAAAGCTCATCCAGTTCTAAATTCCCTGCCATGGGCAGGGACACCTTCCACTAGACCAGGTTGCTCCAAGCCCTCTCTAACCTAGCCTTGAACACTACCAGGGATGGGGCAGCCACAGCTTCTCTGGGCAACCTGTTCCAGCACCTCACCACCCTCACAGGGAAGAACTTCCTAATATCTCATCTAAATCTCCCTCTGTTGGTTTAAAGCCATTCCCCCTTCTCCTGTCCCTACAGGGCCTTGTCTCCAGCTTTCCTGTCAGCCCCCTGAGGCACTGGAAGCTGCTCTAAGGTCTCCCTAGAGCCTTCTCTTCTCCACAAAGCCATTGTGTAAACTGTGGAAACCAAATGCAGCAAGAGAAAGATTAGTGGAGATGTCTTAAGATGGCATAACCCTTTAACATGTATGTACATGTATTTTACATATTATTTGTATAGTGTTATTAATAATATTTTTAGAATATATTGTATAGATATTTATTTCTACATAAGTATCTATACACACAGTTCTAAGGTGGTCTTGTCACATGTTAATCCTAAGTGTAGGACAACCAAAAGAGGTATTTAAGCTAAGAGTTCTTATGCAAAATCAGTAACATCCAGAGCACCATGATGAGTATATTCTCAACTGAGGTTCTACATTACTTATTCCATGATTTATTTATTTATTTTTTTTTAATTATCTTAGAATTGAGTCTTGTGGACTCCAATGAGTAGCTCTTCTAAATTGTAAACTCAGAATAGGCATCTATCACTTACTGTTTTGAATGCCAAACAGGAATATTCCTGATGCTTGCTGAGGCGAAGCAGGAGAATTCTGCAGCTGGTTGATAGCACCTCCTGCTGTGTTGTGGAATAAAGCAGCTTGTTGCTGTGGAGGAGAAGCAGTTCCTTGCATTCCTGCCATGCTGTTTTGAGAAGAGTACATAGGAGACTGCTGCATCTCTTGCTGGCTCATACTATTCTGTAAAGCAGACATGGAAGCTGAAGAGATGAAGAGTGCGACTTGTTGCTCTTGAGAACTTGATGAACTTTGGACCAACTGAATCTGGGGTGAGTTATGGAAGATGGCTGGCTGCTGTGCTTCAGCCTGGCTGGATCCAGAAGTCTGAAGAGAAGACACAGTACTCTGACTCTGGAATTGCATGGGCTGCTGCTCCTGGTTCATTGATGTCATGTTAGTCTGTGGATGAAAAATGGACTGGCCTTGTTGCTCCTGATTGGTAACTGGGTTTTGATTTGGATTGAAAATCATGTTCCGCTTTTGAGAAGCAATTGTACTCATTGCATTTTGATTACTGAACATCATGTTTTGCTGTTGCTGCTGCTGCTGTTCTTGAGATGGAGGACTACTCTGAATAGCAACTATTGAATGCTGAGGCTGGAAAATAGTTCCTTGTTGGTTCTGAGGAATTGAACTGGACTGGATGGAGCCTAGTGACACTTGAGACTGAAACAAACCTTGCTGAGTAGGCTGAGTCTGGGGCTGTTCTTGGGGAAGCATAGAACTCTGGATGTGAGCTATCTCTGTCTGCCGCTGGAAAGAAGTCTGCTGTTCAGTGTTTGTTGCTGTCTGAAGAGGAGAAATGGAATTTGGGCTTGTAAAGAATGATACCTGTTCTTGAGTTGCAGCATTGCTCATTGAACTCTGGGAAAGGAACATGTCAGCAGACCGTTGGTCTTGAGGAACTGAAGAGCTTTGCAATATACCGATGGTGTTCTGTGAGTGGAACATTGGAGGCTGCAGTTGGTCTGAGGAATTGGTACTGGTCTGGTTGTGGACAATGGAATTTGGACTGTGGAAAATAGAGCCTTGTGTTTCCTGTGATATATTCTGAGTATCACCAATAGGATTCTGAGAGTGAAAAAGCTGAGTTTGAGAATGTGGAGACTGCTGCATAAAGCTTCCTGACTGAACAGACATGATTTCTTCGCTCTGCTGGAATAGACCACCTCCTTGTTGTTGAGTTCCACTTGCCTGAACAGCCATCATGTTTTTAGTAGCTGAAAACAGATTAACTTGAGATTGACTTTCTCCACTATGCTGCATTTGAACCATGGTCTGAAAGACAGTACTTTGCATCTGTTTGTTCTGTTCTGAAGCTCCTTCGCCACTTGCAGAATTTGCGGCCTGAAACATAGTATGTCCATTGTTGGAGACCTGCTGCTGAGCAGTAGGAGTAGTATCACTTCCAGAAACACCAGGAGATGAAGAGAATAATTCACACTGTATTTGCATGTCTTCGCTTGTTGATAACCCACTCATTATGTGAGAAGCCTGCTGGTAAACAGGTGACTGTTGGAGGGCTCCATTTCCTGATGTTGAAGAGAACAAATCAGATTGCATCTGTGTTGCAGCCTGGCAAATTTTTTGTTGGATTCCTATCACCACTGCAGCAGAAGTCTCCATCGCCTGCTGCTGTTGATTGGACAATGCATTTTCAGGTTGTGAGTGAACATTTTCAGCTCGTCCAGGCAAAAGGTTCTCTGATCTGGAATGAACAGCTGTGTCTGATGAGGAAAATATCCCAGGATTTACACTATTTTGTATCTGACTAACTTGCTGAAAGATATCTGCATTTAGCTGATCTTGAACATCCTCACTGCTGTCTGAACCGGAAAATAAAACAGAGGATAACTGCTGTTGAGCTTCCAATACCTGTTGCACCAAGTCAACATTCCTATTGCTGCCAGTAGCAGTGTTTCTTGGAAAATTTCCAACTTGCAGTTGCTGGATAGTGTTCTGTAACTTACTCACACCACTTCCTGATGAGAAAATACTTGATGAAATCTGTTCCTGAAATGCCTGTGCTGGTTCTGAGAGTGTAGACTGTTGTGATGCATCAGTTAATTGTGACAAAGTGACCACTGTGCCATCTGATTGCAAGACTTCCCTGGTTAGGGAATCTCTTGTTTGGAACTGTGCAGCTTGCTGCAATAACGTATCACTGCTCTGCAGCTGACCTGAAGTAGAGACTGCTGAAAAGCTACCAGGCTGGGAAATGTCCTGTGTTTGGATAGTAATTAGTGTCTCTGGATTATACAGCTTCGTCTGTATTTGCTGCTGGTTTTCATTTTCAGAAGGTAAATGAGAAGCAGAAGTTGATATGCTGGACATACTGTTTTCCAGTGTTTGTTGAGCTGGTCCAACAACACTTGAAGCCTAAAATGAACCAGACATTAAGCAATTTTTAAGCTTACTTGGGTTATGCTTACAAAATTTCCACCAATCCACTATGTCCAGGAAATATCAGATGGAAGATTTGCTGGCTATGTATATAGTGCTTCTTACATAACAAAAAAAAATTAGGAAATGACTAGCAATGGAAATGCTATTTCACAGAAAAAGTCAAGGTACAATTTAATGAAAGCAAAACTAGGAAGTGATTAAAACAATATTCTTAAAGTAATTTACTAGTTCTGTGTCTGTGTCAGACGATAATGGCCCATGGTGAAACACACAGGAATGGAAAAGTACTGTTTGGCATGGGTTCAGTGAACCTTCAAAACAGGGAAGTTAGCCAGCCTGGAAAACCGCTGTTAGCGCAATGGAGTCTTATAAAATCATAGAATAGTTAGGGTTGGAAAGGACCTTAAGATCATCAAGTTCCAACCCACTTGCCATGGATAAGGACACCTAACACTAAAACAAGTCATCCAAGCCTCTGTACAACCTTGCCTTGAACACTGCTAGGGATGAAGCATTCACAACTTCCTTGGGCAACCCATTCCAGTGCCTCACCACCCTCACAGTAAAAAACATCCTCTTTATATACAAACAAAAATTCCCCTGTATAAGTTTTAACCTGTTATCCCTTGTCCTGTCACTACAGTCCCTAATGAAGAGTCCCTCCCCAGCATCCTTAAAGGCCCCCTTCAGATACTGGAAGGCTGCTATGAGGTCTCCATGCAGCCTTCTCTTCTCCAGGCTGAACAGCCCCAACTTTCTCAGCCTGTCTTCATATGGGAGGTGCTCCAGTCCCCTGATCAATCTTGTGCCCCTCCTCTGGACTTGTTCCAGCAGTTCCATATCCTTTTTATGTGGAGGACACCAGAACTGGCCACAATATTCCAAGTGAGGTGTCACGAGAGCAGAGTAGAGGTGCAGGATCACAGAATCCTAAGGGTTGGAAGGGACCTCAAAAGATCATCTAGTCCAACCCTCCTGCAAGAGCAGGGTAACCTAGAGTACATCACACAGGAACTTGTCCAGGCGGGCCTTGAATATCTCCAACGTAGGAGACCTCCTACGACCTGCTAGTCATGCTCCTTTTGATGCAGCCCAGGATATGGTTAGCTTTTTGAGCTGCAAGCTCACATTGCCAGCTCATGTTATGTTTCTCATCGACCAACACCCTTGGTCCTTCTCTGCAGGGCTGCCCTGAATCTCTTCTCCATCCAATCTGTAGCTGGGCCTGGGACTGCCCGGACCCAGCTGTAAGCAAAAAAGTCATTAAGAACCTCAGCCTTCTCCAAATCCAGGGTAGCCAGCTCTCCTGATAGCCTCCGGAGAGGGCCCACATTGTCCCTAGTCTATCTTTTATTCACTATGTATCTACAGAATCCCTTCCTGTTATCTTTCACATCCCTAGCCAAGTTTAATTCTAACTGGGCCTTAGCTTTCCTAACCTGGTCCCTAGTTTGGAAGCTGTTGTCCGGGAGGACAACATCCCTGTATTATTCCCAGGCCACCTACCATTTCTTCTACCTTTTATAAGAATCCTTTTTTCCCTCTAAGTTTCCTAAGCAGCTCCTTATCCATCCAAGGAGGTCTCCTGGCCCTCTTGCTCCATTTCCTTCCAGTCGGGACACAACACTCCTGAGCTTGTAGCAGGTGACCCTTGAATGTCAACCAACAGTCTTGGGCCCCCCTACCCTCTAGGGCTATATCCCATAGAACCTTACTAAGCAGGTTCCTGAAGAGGCCAAAGTCTGCTCCTTTGAAGTCCAGGACAGTCAGCTTGCTACAGACTCCTCTCACTGTCCTGAGGATCTCAAACTCAACCATCGCATGATCGCTGCAACCAAGGCTTCCCTGGAGCATCACATATCCTACCAGCCCTTTCCTGTTGGTGAGCACGAGATCAAGCATGGCACCTCTCCTTGTCAGCTCCTCTATTACTTGCAGAAGGAAGTTGTCTTCCACACAATCGAGGAACCTCCTGGATTGCTTTGCCAGGCTGTACCATCCCTCTAACAGATATCAGGGTGGTTGAAGTCCCCCATGAGGACAAGGGCCTGCGAGCATGAGACTGTTCCTATCTGTCTATAAAGTCCTCTTGATCAGGTGGTCTGTAAGAGATCCCCAGAATAATGTCCTCCTTAGTTGTTCTCCATTTAATGATGACCCACATGTTCATGTGGTTAGATGTGTGCTTCCTCATTAGCCCCCTGCAGAACTCTGAAGCGGTTCTGGGTGGGGACATCAGATTTAGGAGGAAACTCCTTGCTTTTAATTGCCCTGTTCCACCTTTTTTTGTTTTTTGGTTTTTTTTTTGTGTTACCATTTCCCAGCTTCCTGGGTTAACAGCCTCCTTCTTTCCTCCAGGGATAGAAGAGGAGAAACGAAAGAATGTAACTCCCAAAGGGTGAGATAAGAACAGTCCAGTAACTGAGGTATAATACAAACCCACTACTGCTACCACAAATAATAATAACGATAAGGGAAATAAATAACAAGGGAAGAGAATACAAGTGCTCACCACCCGCTTTTCCAATACTCAGCCCGATCAGAGCAGTGATCTAGCCCTTTTGTGCAACTGCCCACAGTTTATATACTGGGCATGATGTGTTGTGGTATGGAATAGCTCTTTGGTCAGTTTGGGTCAGGTGTCCTGTCTCTGCTTCCTCCCAGCTTCCCCTTGTCCTTGGCAGAACACGAGACTCACAAAATACTTGGTCAGAGCAAACATTACTGAGCAACAACTGAAAACATAGGTGTTATCAGTGGTGTTCCCAGGCTGAAAGTCAAAAACACAGCACTGCACCAGCCACTAAGAAGGAGAAAATTGACTGCGAATGCTGAACCCAGGACAGTATCCACCCCTTATTCCATACCATTCACATCATGCTCAGATCCTACATTCTCAATACACCATCACTCTTATTTCATATACATATAAGTACATAAATACATACAGATCCACACAATGAGAGAGAGATCATTCCTTAGTGCATGGACCAATCCCTATAAAGCTGCTGAGTTCATCTGGTCCATGATGTCAGGCTCCATCTCTTGTAACAGTCTTTCAGAGCAGCAGAGGCTGTGTGCAGTTTTGGATTGGTGCAGAACTCGTCTGGTTTCATCAAAGTTCATTCTTTGTTGTAATGATGGTTGGAGGGAAGTCAGGGGCAGTCGCTGGTGACCTGAAGACATCTAGTTGGTGGGCTATAAAAGTGCTACATAGCAAGCAACAGCATACAATGGAGTTCATTCGCTGTTTTCCCCTAAAATCAAATCCCCTTGAGGTACACACTCCACTTCCCCATTTTCCCGCATTACCCACCAAGTATATCCAGGTCCCCGGGCAAAGTGGGTTTGCCGTTACCTGAAGCAGACTGTCTTTCCCAGCAAATTCTTTAGGTGCACCACAGGAACTTTATCCCCTTCCACAGTATGTAAAAGTTCTGACTGGGCTGGGCCAGCCCTGTTGGAAGATCCTCTGGTGTTGACCAACCAGGGGGCCTTTGGTAAATGTGTATCCCAATGTTTGAAAGTCCCAGCACCCATGCTCTCAGTGTAGTTTTTAACAGCCCATTGTACCATTGCACCGTTCGATTTTCCCAGAGGCTGGCGCATGGTAGGGGATGTGACATACGCACTCAATGCCATGCTTACTGGGGCAAGTGTCTATAAGTTTGTCCGGAAATGAGTCCCATTGCCTAACTCAATTCTCTCTGGGGTGCTGTCTCGCCACAAAATCTGTTTCTCAAGGCACAGGATAGTGTTCCGGGCAGTGGCATGCTTCCAGCCATCCAGTGGTTGCTTCCACCATGGTAAGCACATGGTACTTGCCTAGGTAGGTTGGTGGGAGTGTGATATAATCAATCTGCAAGGCATTCCATATTGATACTTCAGCCATCATCCTCCATACCAAAGAGGCTATAACCACTTGGCTTGCTTAACTGCAGCACGTGTTTCACACTCATGAATAACCTGGGTAATAGCATCCATTGTTAAATCCACCGCTTGATCACGAGCCTATCTATATGTTGCATTGCTGCCATGATTGCCTGAAGTGTCATGGGCATACCAGGCCAAAAATAATTCACCCTTATGTTGCCAATCTAAGTCCATCAGAGCCACTTCAATCTTAGCAGCTTTATCCACTTGTTGGCTGTTCTGGTGTTCCTCAGTGGCCTGACTATTGGGCACATAAGCATCTACATGGCGTACCTTCACCACCAGGTTCTGCACCCAGGCAGCGATATCCTGCCACAGTGCAGGAGCCCAGATCGGTTTACCTCTGCGTTGCTAGTTATAGTTGATGGGCTATAAAAGTATTACACAGCAGGCAACAGCATACAATTAAGTTCATTGGCTGTTTTCCCCTAAAATCAAAACCCCTTAAGGTATGCATCAGACTTCCCCATCTTACTGCATTACCCACCAAGTATATCCAGGTCCCTGAGAAAAATCACTCCCACAAGTGGGTTTGCCTTTACCTGAAGCAGGAATAACCCTGACTGTCTTCCCCAGCTAATTCTTCATATGCACAACAGGAACTTTGTCCCCCTCTACAATATGTATAAGTTCTGACTGGCCTGGGCCAGTCCTGTTGGCAGATCCTCTGGTGTTGACCAACCAGGTGGCCTTTGGTAAGTGTGTATCCCAGTGCTTGAAAATTCCCCCACCCCTTGCTCTCAGTGTAGTTTTTAACAGCCCATTGTACCGTTCGATTTTCCCAGAGGCTGGTGCATGGCAGGGGATATGATATACCCACTCAATGCTATGCTCTTTGGCCCTAAAGTCTGTAAGGTTATTCTGGAAATGAGTCCCATTGTCTGACTCAATTCTCTCTGGTGTGCCATGTCACCACAAAATCTGTTTCTCAAGGCCCAGGATAGTGTTCCAGGCAGTGACGTGGGGCACAGCATATGTTTCCAGCCCTCCAGTGATTGCTTCCACCATGGTAAGCACGTGGTAATTGCCTTGGCGGGTTA